GAGTGTTTGTTTGGGTTTTTTTTGGAAGTTCCAACCCAGTTGCTTCTATTTACTTATGTGCTTACTTATTTATTCTATATGCTTACAGGCTTTGTGCAAGAGAGCTAGGCTAAGAAAGGATGCTTTCATATTTCCCAACATATCAGAGTGATCTGGAAATCCAGGAGGAACCCTAATACTGAAGCTTATTAACCTGATCTATAAATGCAAATACCCATGGGAAAGCAACCAGCATGCTTTGGTTAAGCATCTGACCTAAAGCTTTGAAACTTCTGTTTAATCTTTCATACTATTTGTCCTAAAGTGGGACATGAGATAGATCCAAATCAACTTTGTAAGAGGACTTGGGTAGAATTTAGGCACATAAGGGTATAGACTAGGGGTGTACCAATACATCAGACCATATTGTATCGGCACCAATAAAAGGAAAATTGACGTCATCAACAATCTGCCTTTTTTGGCTGATGGGGCCAATAATGTCACTAATAAACGCCACGTGCGTGTGCAGCTACAGCATGTATGCAGCCAACCTGGCAGCTTGGAGAGCAGTGTCCAATTGGCAAGTCTGTTAAGGGAAAGGGGTGGAGGGAGGGAAGAAGTATGGGGAGGCAGATTGAGGCCCCTGAGGTGAGGGAGGAAGTGGGGCTGGGGCAGGTGCTGCCCAGCCAGGGTGCGGTGGGGTGCAGGATGACGCCGTGAAGCTCATCTGAGGGGGCATGGGGAGGCAGGGGCGTGGATCCTGCCGCTACACACATCCCTGGGGGAGCCATAGGGGTCATGTGCCCCCCAGATCTGTGCACAGAGCCAAGGGTGGGCTGCCACTGCAAGCTGGAGTTGAAGGCAGTGCTGGGCTCTTCCCGGCAGTGGGGGCTGGGCCAGAGCTATGCTTGGGGCAGGCAGCAGCAGCAGTGCTGGGGTGGGGGGATATGGAGTGGGCTGAATTTTCCATAGCCCCTCATAACCCCTCATCCTAGTGAAGCCACCGCCTGACCCAAGCACAGCCCCACCCCTGCCGAAAAGAGCCCAGCTCTGGCCCCACCCCAAGCCCTCAGCAGCAGCCCAGCCTCACCCCATGCACAGATTCGGGGGTCACATGCCCCCATGGCTCCCCAGGGGGTGTGCGTAGTGGTGGAATCCACCCCATCCTGTGCCCCCCCCAGAGGAGCTGTGCAGCTCCATCCCATACCCCACCCTGGCTGGGCAGCTCCTGCCCTAGCCCCAGCCCCATTCCCTCCCTCACCACAGGGGCCTTAATCTGGCCCCCCCATGCCCCTTCTCTCCCTTCCACCCCTTCCCCTCAACAGACTTACCAGCTGCACACTGCTCTCCAAGCTGCTGGGCTGCATATTGGCAATCAGATCAGTATCAGCCGATACGGCTCAGTAATAATCGGTCACTGGTATTGGCCAAAAAAACTTTATCAGTCCACCTCTAGTATGGACACACAGAATGTTTATACCGGTGTAATCTGCTTTTACAATAGCATAAATGTGCAATGGACGCACAGAATATACCCTCCACCAGTGTATGTCACCATTCTTGGGTAGAGCTACCCCATAGAAAGTAAGAAATAACTATATATTTCTGTTAACTCTACCAGTGTACAGTTTAAATGCCTGCAGCTTGTGAAGTTCACCCCAGAGTAGCCCTTGCCCAATACAAACAGGCTACATGTGAGGTGCTATAATAGTTTTCTCACCTGCAATATGAAAAGGGTCCCAAGCCTAACTGCACCGCTTCTTCAACAGTGTCAACATGAAGCTCTTGGTAAAGCAAATCTGAATTCCAGGAAATGCAACTGTGTCCAGAAATGGTCTTCTTCATAATGCCCCTGTACTCCGTACCATTGCCCGTGTAACATGGATGCCTAGGAACTGAACAAAGCATGATACAGTAAAAGCTGTGTTTTCTGGCACTTTACTATCCAGAATGCTCTATTAACCAGCATCTATCCCACTGTGGCATTTCCGGTTTTGCCGCTGTGAGCCGAGTCCCACTTCTTCCTCATGGACCATGGCCCAGGGCAAAGCAGCCCGTGCGGGGCCCCCTCCCTGTCCCTGGCACACTGATGCCAGGGAGTGAAAGCCCTGGCACACCAGACGCAGCAGGAGGGGTGGCAGCTGAACAGGCAAAGACGCCTCCAACCCACTGGGCAGAAGATAAGTATAACTCTCAGATAACCAGCACATTTGATTAACCGGCACCCCCCCACTTCCCATGGATGCCGGATAACAGAGCTTTTACTGTGTATTGATCAGAAAGCAGGACAAATCAAGTGCTAAGAAAATGCTTATTTCATCCCAATGTTCCAAATTACATTTTCATGCACTAAAAGTCAACGAAGGCAGTTCTCCAGTGCCTTTGCAATAAAGGTATAAAATATGGATATAAACCAGCACAAATAAAATGAACCATGTGTTACGCTTACTTTGCCCAGGCATAAATGTTTACACAAAGTGCAAGTTAGTGGCCTCATGTGTTCAACGTAAATGACAGCCAGTAACAAGGAAGCTGCTGGAGAGCATGAACTCTTGCTAAAGCATTTAAAGGGCCTGATTACAAAAGGGTCTTGAAAACCTTTAACATGTGCAGATTACCACACGCAAACAAACATGCATTTTGCAAATACTAACATAGCTGACTGAATTTTCACATGCAAAACTGATTTACTGTCACCTGTGCACTAAACAATTGTCCAAATGGGTTTGGCACATATATATTCTACCACCTGTACAGGCAGCTGTTAAAATCTATCAATAGCATACACAAACAACAGCACTTGAAAAGCATATGGGGAGAGTTCTGTACATACTAAACTGCACTAAATGAAAAGGCAGTCTCTGAAAATCCAGCTCATAGTGTGCTTCTAGTAAAGTAAATGCAGAACCATTCCATGTACAAGCAGGACTAACTGTAAATAGAAGCTACACAGTACTTCTCTTCCTGGAGATTTCTGGGAGTATTATTTATTAGGCCTGTGCAAAGCAGCCAGTATTCGCTTCAGATTCGGATTTGGGCGATTCTAATCACTGTCTTGAATCGATTTGACTGAATCTGATTCAGAGATTCGGCTGCTGCTCTCCCTGCCCGCTGTCCCAGCCCCGGCGATGGCTACCCCACCCGCCCCAGCTCCTGGCACTTTGAAAAAAAAGCCCCGACTCACCGGGTGCTGCCGGGTGGGGGGTGATCCCCACTGCCCCACGCCATATGGGGGGCTCTTCCATGAGCCCCTCAAAGCCCTGAGCCCATTGCAGGAGCTGGTGAGTTTGTGGGGTTTTTTGGTTTTATTTTTCTTAAAAGACCAGAGCTGGGGCAGGTGGGGCAGCCATGGTGGGGGCTG